AAGGCTGGCGGTTCAAACCCACCAGCCACTCCTCGGAAGGAAGATGGGGCAATCTACTTCCATAGCGATACTGCCTTGGAAACCCAAGGAGGGGTCCCTATGAGTCGGGTCCGACTCGATGGCATACAACAACAAGCTGGGATTAAATACGAAGGGCTTCCTCAAGGAGGCATACAAAAAGCCTTGAAATACTAAGTGTGGGGGGTACTTCTAGTAACCAACAGGAAACTTGATGGAAAAAGGTATTATTTTCACTTTACTAAAACCAAAACCAAACCAAACTCACTGCCATAGAGTTGATTCTGACTCATAGTGACCCCTCATTGGGTTTCCAAGGCTGGTGGGTTTGAACCACAGACCTTCTGGTTAGCAGCCAAGTGTCTTAATCGCTATGCCACCCGAACTTCTTTTGCTTTACCAAAGGACCCTTTTAATTATTGTGTTTGTCTTTTCCTTTAGAGAAAGTTAACTCCTTACTTATTTTCATCTCAGATTTAAAGTACATCTAAAAGGTCAAAGTAAGCCCTTATCAAATTTACTCCAAAGGTTTACATACAATGGATGAACAGATACCTGGTAACTGAGAAAGCAAGCTTGACCATCCTATAACGTACTGACACTAGGCATGTTGTGGTTACAGGATCAAACAGCACTGCTCAAAGTGTGGTCCGAGGACTAGCGTGGGTTTCCAAATGATCCACTACCACCCACAATGAGACAAGCACAACAGCTGAGAAGCATTTAGAAACTTCTACTGCCGTTTGACCCCATTGGACTGAGTAAGTTTATGTCTACTGGATCCAAATAATCAACTAATTGGGACTTGTAATTTGTGTGTCTTTTTTTCTAGTGATTGATTTTTATTGTAGTTTACAAAAAAAAGTATTGGTTTGCAACAGACTGGAAGTTAAGAAATGGCTCCTTCATATAGATAGTTTACCACTGGGATAAACAACATGGATTTTTATAAGCAAAAGAGTATCTCATAAAATAAAAATGAATTATAAAAGTTTTCCCAAATATGTAATTTACTTTGAGAAAAGAAACCTAAAATATTGTGGTGGTCAATATCGTTTCTCTCCTCAAATTCTCTTTATTTACTAAATAAAGCTAAAAAATTCACTTTGACCTAATTTGGAAATTACAAGAAATTGAAACAGAACATACTCTCACCATGAAGCACTAACTCTTTTTCCCCTAAATTTTATTTAGTTGGTTGTTGTTGAGAATATACACAGCAAGATAGACTGGCTCTACAGTTTCTACATGTACAACTGAGACAGGATTACATTCTTCCACTTGTGTACCCACGCCCATCCTCCCTTTCTAAGTTCTTCCTCCACTGACATGAACTTGCTGCCCCCTAACCTTCTGAGTTATTGTTAATTTGATCCCACATAGTTTTTTTATTTTTAAATCTTTATTGTGATCTGGGTGAAGGTTTACAAATTCATTTTCCACATAGCAGTTGACACACATTTTATTTTATGACACTGACAGCAATTCCCCACAGTGTAACAGCTCTCTTCCCACTTCCCTCCCTGTAGTGACCCTTTCCCTGTGTCCTTTCCTCTGCATTCCTGCCCCTGAGCTACTTCCCTGTGCAAATATTGGCCTTCTGTTCTCTCATGACTGGTTGTTCTAAGGAGTGGACCCACCTGTAAATGTAAATGTTCACCTTACATATTTATCGTTCGGCTGGGAGCTCTGGTAGCATAGTGCCAAGGCATTTGACAGCTAACCAGAAGGCTGGTGGTTCAAACCCACCAGCCACTCTTTGGAAGGAAGGTTGGGCAATCTACTGCAGTGATACCACCTCGGAAACCCAAGGAGGGGTCGCTGTGGGTTGAATCCGACTCGATGGCAGTGGGTGTTTTTTTTTTTTTTAATTGTTTGGCTGGAAGCCACGGAAGTGAGTTCAATTCCAAACCTGAAGGGTAACTAGGGGGCCATAGTTTTGGGGGTCTCATCAGACTCTATCAGCCCTGTAAACGTGGTCTTTTTTAAGACTTCGAGTTTTGTTCCACATTGTTCTCCTGCTCTCCCCAGGACCTTCTGTATTAACCCTTTTCCGAGTAGTTGACAGTGGTAGCTGGACACCATCTAGTTCTGGTCTCGTGGTCATACAGTCTGACATTTGCATGGTCTACTAATCCTTTGGACTAATTGTTTCCATTTATCTCTGGTTTTCTTTATTCTTCTCCGTTCTGTACGATGAGAGACCCATGGTTGCATCTAGATGGCTGTTTGCAAGATTTTAAGACCCCAGTTACTACTCACCAAAGTAGGATGTAGAACAATGTTTTTATGAAGTATGTTATGCCAGCTGAGCTTGATGTCCCCTGTGACCATGGTCTTGAGCCCACAGGTCCAACAACTAGCTCCCTCAGGGTGGGTGGCTGTGGCTAAGAAGTTATCAATAACTTTGCCCCTTGTTAGCTCCATTATGTATGTGGACATTCTTATAGCACATGCAAATATGTATGTAGAAATATTGTCTGCCAACCTTATATATGGTCATGGGCATATTCCCTTTAGGCTACAAATACTTGATCATTCAGCCTGTTTACCCTTCTATTTACCTGTAGATTAATATTTATTTTCACTGACAATGCAGTATTGTGTATGTAAAACAGTTTACCTCTGTTTGTATTTCTTGTGTACCTCTCTGTCTTCCTTTTCCTTAGTGTTACTGTATTGGTCACTTGCTTTTGATATATTGTCTTTCCCTTCACTCAAATCAATATTGTCTCTACCTATCCAGCAATTTCTCTCCCCTCCTGTCCCACCCCTGGTATGATCCCACATAGATAGTTCTTAAAAGAATATAATGCTCAAGGCAGACTTTTTTTTTAAACCAGTTAAGCTAGGCTAGTGTTTGGTTTTAAGATGACTTCAGAGGATATTTTGGCAATAGTTTCAAGGGTTCACCTACCCTCCATGGCCCCAGAAAGTCTAGAGTCTACGTAAATTTTAAGTTCTACTCTGCATTTTCTCCCTTTTGATCAGGATTTGTCTATGGACTTTTTGATCAAAAATGTTTGGTCCTGGTAGCCAGGCACCATGCAGCTCTGGTCTCATGGCCAAGGAGGCAGTGGTCAAGGAGGCATTTAGTCACATGGTCCACCTCCTCCTCCTGTATCTGCCTCTCCTTCCTCTATTGCTCCAGGTGAACAGAGACCGACTGCTGTGCCTCTGATAACCACTCACAAGCTTTGAAGACCCCAGACACCACACCACAAAAGAAAAGAAGCACTACACATGTTACTCGGCAAATTAACTAGCATGTCCCATGAAACCATGATTCTAAACTTCCAAACCAAGAAAGCAAGGCCTATGAGGTGTTTGGTTGTACACAGCAGCCTCAGCAACTGCTCTTTTTTTTTTGTATTCTTTTTGTCTGTTTATAATTTTTCTGAAATGTTCATAATAACTGCATTTGTATGAGAGAAACTTTACACAATGAAGAAAAGCAGTTTTAAAATCAAATCAGTACTGAGAGGTATTTTTAACTTTTATGGTCTCTACCTTGTCCTCTTATGCTAGCTCTTCCTGAAGTAATATGGACTTCAATTCAGGTTTGCAGTATTGAACTAAATATGATGTTGTTAGGTGTCATTGAGTTAGTTCCAACCCATACTAACCTTGTGTGTAACAGAATGAAACCCTGCCTGGTCCTGCACGATCCTCACAACTACTGCTTTGTTGGACCCCTTTGTTTCAGCTGTTGTGTCAATCCGTCTCACTGAGGGTCTTCCTCTTTGTCACTGACCCTCTACTTCAACAAGGATGACGTTCTTCTCCAGGGACTGGTCGCTCTTAATAATATGTTCAAATTACATGAGAAGTCATGCCATCTTCCCCTAAGGAGCATTCTGGCTGTACTTCTTCCAAGACAAATTTGTTTGTTCTTCTGGCAGCCAACAGTACATTCAATATTCTTTGCCAACACCATAATTCAAATGCATAAGTTCTCCTTCAGTCTTCCATATTCACTGTCCAGCTTTCATGTGCACATGAAGCAACTGGAAATACCATGGCTTGGGTCAGGCACATCTTAGTCCCCAAAGTGACGTCTTTTCTCTTTAACTCTTTAAATAGGTCTTCTGTAGCACATCTGTCCAATGCAATATGTCATCTGATTTCTTGACTGCTGCTTCCAAGGGTGTTGATGTGGATCCAAGAAAATTGAACTCTTTGACAACCACAATCTTTTCTGGTTATCGTGATGTTGCTTATTGGTCCAGTTGTGAGGGTTTTTATTTTATGTTGAGGTGTAATCCATACTGAAGGCTGTAGTCTTAGATTTTCATAATTAAATGCTTCCAGACCTTTTGGCTCTCAGCAAGCAAGGTTGCATTATCTGCATGTCGCAGGTTGTTAATGAGTCTTCCTCCAAACCTGATGCCTTGATCTACTGCATACAGTCCAGCTTCTTGGATTATTTGCTTAGCACTCAAACTGACTAAGTATGGTGAAAGGATATAACCCTGATACACACCTTTCCCAATTTTAAACCACATAGTATCCCCCTGTTCTGTCTGAATGACTTCCTCTAAGTCCATGCACAGGTTCTGCATGAGCACAAGTAAGTGTCCTGGAATTCCCATTCTTCACAATGTTATCCATAATTTGTTATGATTCACACAGTTAAATGCCTTTGCACAGTCAATAAAACCAGATAAACATCTTTCTGGTATTCTCTGCTTTCAGCCAAGATCTGTCTGACATCAGCAATGATATTCCCCATTCTACTTCCTCTTCTGAATCCAGCTTGAATTTCTGGCAGTTCCCTGTTGATGTACTGCTGTAATTGTTCTGAATTCTTTTCAGCAAATTTTACTTGCATGCGATATTAATGATATTGTTTGACAACTTTCACATTCTGCTGGATCACCTTCTTTAGAAAGGGCACAAATATGGATCTCTTCCAGTCAATTGGGCATGTAGCTGTCTTCCTGTTTTCTTGGAACAGATGAGTGATCACTTCTAATGTTGCATGTGTTTGCTGAAACATCTCAGTTGACATTTTGTCACTTCTTGGAGCCTTGTTTCAAGCTACTACCTTCAGTGCAGCTTGGACTTCTTCCTTCAACACCACTGGTTCTTGATCATATGTTACCTTCTGAAATGGCTGAATGTCAACCAATTATTTTTGGTACAGTGATTCTATGTATTCTATCTTCTTTTGATGCTTCCTGCTTCATTCAATATTTTACCCATGGACTCTTTCAATATTGTAACTTGAGGCTTGAATGGTTACTACAGTTCTTTCAGCTTGAGAAAGGTCTTTGCAAATTTCATAATATTTTAATTTCTCAAGTCTTCTCAAGCCACATCTGGCAGTTTTTACTGTTCTGTTCAGTTTTTTACTTCCTCATTTCTTCTATTCACTTTAGCTACTCTCCATTCAAAACCAAGTTTCAGAGTCTCTTCTGACATCCATTTTGGTCTTTTCTTTCTTTCTTGTCTTTTAAATAACCGTTTGCTTTGCTCATGTATGATGTCCTATAACTTGTCTGCTCTTCAGTCACTACTGTTTAACATATCCAGCCTATTCTCAAGATGGTCTCTAAATTTAGGTGTGATATACACTTAACATGGTACTTTGGCTCTCATGGATTTCTTTTAATTTTCTTTAACTTCAACTTGAATTAGCATATGAGCAACTGATGCTCTATTTGCAGTTGACTCCTGGCCTTGCTCTGATTAATGATATTGAGTGTTTCCACTCTCTGTTTCTACAGACATAGTTGGTTTGATTCCTGTACATTCCATCCAGTGAAGTCTATGCATATAGTTGTCATATAGGTGGTCGAGAAAAGGTATTTTTATGAATAAGCCACTGATCTCACAAAATTCTATCATGTAATCTCGCGCGTTATTTCTATCACTGAGGCTGTATTTCCCAACTACTGATTTTCCTTCGTTTCTAGCCTGCGTTCCAATCACCAGTAATTGTCAGTGCTTCTTGACTGCATGTTGGTCAATGTTAGAATGCAGAAATTGATAGAAATTTCAATTTCTTCATTTTTGGCATTAGTGGTTAGTACATAAATAAGAATAGTCCTATTAACTGGTGTTGCTTGTAGAAGTATGGACATTGTCTTATAACTGACAGCATTATACCTCATGATAGATTTTGAAATATTCTTTTTGACAACGAATGTGACACTATTCCCCTTCTATTTGTCAAAGTAGACCACATGGATTATCTGATTCAAAATGGCCAGCACCAGTCCACTTCAGCTTACAAATGCCTAGGATGTTAATCTTTATGTGTTAGATTTCATTTTACATGACTTCCAATTTTCTTAGTCATACTTTGTACATTTCATGTTCTGATTATTAATGGATGTTTGCAACTATTTCTCATTTTGAAAATTACACATATTAGCATGTCTTAATCCAAATGATTTAAATGCAAAATAAATGTGTATTTTTCTGATTTGAGATAGAAAATTGATTAGTGGTTGCCAGGAGCTGGGGAGGAATAGGGAATGGGGAGTGACTGCCTAATAAATATGTGGTTTATTTTTGGGGTGATGAAAATGTTCTGGAATTAGAGAATGTACTAAAAGCCACCAAATTATACACTTTGAAACAGTTAAAATGGTGAATATTTATCTCGATACATTTTTTTGTAAAGGAGGGGTTGGTTTACAGTGTAAAATGCTATCAAGAGTGCGACGTAGTGAATTACCTAATATGGCTCTTCTAACCATGGTCTTTGTGACTCCTACCAGATGAATGGTTAGAACTATGCAAACGTAAGGTGCTTATGGTCCACCAAGGGGACTGGATACCTTGTCAGTAATGTAAATGAGGTGCATGGGACACTTATGGGATTGGGACCAGGGAAACAAGGTGTATAGAACTCTAACGTGAGGATTGGTCAGTGTTTCCATTCCGTTAGGCTTAAAATGAGCCATCCCAAAAGTGGAAAAGGGGATCTCATCACCATTAAGACAGAGAAAAGCCTGGAATGGAGTACGTTCTTGGACCCAAGATCCTTGCTCTGAGACGATGGCAAAGAGTGATGGCAGCAGTAGCAACAGAAACAGAAGTGAGAGACTGGCATGAGAAAAAGTGGCAGGCTTGCCAGCCCATGCAGTGAGAACGCTGAGTGCCTTTAGGCAAGAAGCTTGCTGGCAGAACTGGATGCACTTATTGGCAGAACTAAATGATCTTTCTAACACCTGCTTCTCGGCAGGGCAGAGGCCATGCCGAAAGGCCAAGGGCCAAAGAGGAGTGCCTGTGCACACGGCAGAGGAGAGACAGTCCTGATCAAAGAATTGTATCCTGAGCATTCCTGAACCTGAATTATAACCTGTTGTTTACCTAATAAATCCCATAATCATAAGCACTGTCCATAAGTTCTGTATGGCCACCACAATGAATTATCGAATTCAGCAGAGAAGTAAAAAGTGAAGCAGGAAGGACGGGCGGTGTCAGAATTTGTAAAAAAAAAAAAAAAGTTGGAGGGTGGCGGCATGTCTGACCTCTGTTTCGTGGGGATCAGCCTTGGGCTGATGCTGCTGATGGTGACTGTCTCCTCTTTGTGAAGTTAGAGGAGGTCAGAGGAAATTGCCCCATGCCCTTTTTTGCAAAGAGGAAAGAGGACTGAGAAAAGGCTGTTTCTATTAATAATGAAGAGGTTACCTTTAAGAAAGTAGTTTCTGCAAGGTATAACGCTAAAATGCAAGAGACAGGGAGTGGACGTGAACTGCGCAGAACAGAGAACATGTATATATTACTCTGGATCAGAATGGTGGTGGAGAAGGTGAGAGGATAATAGCCTGAGAAGTGTGAGTAACAGTACTGGGGAGGATTTTGGAGAAACCAGGCTTTGGATCAGTAGGGGAAAGGGTCCTGGGGAGATCTAATTAAAAATCCAAAGCAGAGAAGGAGAGCATAAGGAAATCTTGAGAGAGAGACACACAGTTAGTGAATTACAGAGTCAAGTCATGTGTAAAAGTGAGAATAGTGGGAGTGCATTGAGGTCTTGAAGAGAAAGGGACGAGTTGGGAGAAATGACTGTAGGAACTGGGACAAAATACGAAGGTGTGTGCATGCATTCTCAGTAAATTTAGTTTCAAAAACTTGATACTTCACTCACCTGCCTATGAGCATCTCGGAGGTAGGTGTCATATCCAGTGCCCTCGACATGGTAGGATGATTTTGCTTCATCTGGTACCAGACAGAGAAAACTTAAATGGAAAAAAAAAAAAAAAAAAAACCAACCGTAATACTCTCACAATTCAATCATACATTTACAGTTTGTTAAAGTATCCAAACTCAAAAAGACTCATTGCCATCAAGTCGATTCTAACTCATAGCAACCTCCGTAGTCCTAGGCTATAAATCTTTAGGGAAACAGACTGCTCCATCTTTCTTCTGTGGAGCGGCTGGTGGCTTTGAACCACTGACCTGGTTTGCAACCAAATGCCTTAACCACTACACCACGTAATGATAACCTTAAGTTTCACCAAGTATTAAAGCGAATGGAAACTCAGAAAATAACCTTTTATGTTTTAAGTACTTATCTTGAATCAGTATTAGAAGTCACTGAGTAAATACTCTTTCACTAATGGTTTTATTATAAATTACTCATTCCACTTAAGCAAGATTTTTTTTTTTTCCTCTTTACATTACTGCACAATGACATACTGCTATGGTATTTGGTAATCTCAGGAAATTAGCTTTTAAGTAATTAAACTTGAGATTTTTATGCAGTCTAATTATGCATCTTGAGTCATATACAATTTTCTATAAAGTCACCTGCCAAACCCAGGCATTATCAGTGACAGCTTTGCAAAGGAAGAGAAAGAGAAGAAAATTACCACAGAAGGGGAACTTAAAAAAAAAATTTAAGAATACAAAACGAACAAAAAGAATAGCCCCATGCTTGGCATACATGAGTACGTGTTAAGTAAGTACAGTCTGCCAAAATGGCAATCCTCAATGCTGTTCCAATTGGGAAGTGCTGTAATGTTTATACATATATTTTTAAAGCAGGGTACTTTAAAGCTTTATTTCACCACTGCTATTTGTTCTTTTTTCTGTGTTAAGCAGAGCTTTTCTCTTTTGTTATCGATGCTGCCCTAGGCTGTCACTTGCTACATAAGCATGACAGGAAGCAGACATAATTTTCAGATTAAACAAAGGAAGACTTCCATTCAGTTCATAATATCTTTATCTATTTTTCTAACAAATGAAGGGCAGGGCTATTTTCCGTTATATAAATAACAAAAGATGAAAGTCATATTTATATAGCAACTCACCTATTGACGATTTTATGGACCTCAGTTTTCCCATCCGTTTTGGGGTGGTCAGGAGTGGGAGGAGGTGAAGAACTGAGCCACTCCTGGGCTGTCAAAGCATTGTCTGGTGCAATGTCAGTAAACAACGGATCTTCCTCCAGATCTCTAAGTTTAAATGAATGATGTATAAAAACCCATTTTATTAGGGTAGTTTCTAAACCAAAACAATCTCTGCTATGTTCTTAGAAAGCATTCTATCATTTTGCTAATATAAAGAAAAAAATACTAAAGAATTTATATTTATACTCTATAGACAAAGTTAACATTTTACACTAACACTGAACATATGAATATACTGATTTTGTTAGGTTTAATTAATAGATAGTATCATTTTTAATTTAAAAGGATATAGTAGTGGGGCATGTAAATTTTATTTTGAAAAACTCTTAAACTATTAGAGATTTGTTTGTTTAAGAATGAGGGAGAGGCATCAGAGGAGAGAGACTGTTAGGACCCTGTATGAAATACTCAACTCTCAGAGTTGGATAAAAACTTACACTGCTCCTGCTATCAATCCATTCTCTACCACATCTTTATCTTCTGGGCACAAAGGCTTATATTCTGTATAATTTCTTTCTTCAAGATTTCTTAGGACCAAGTTGTAAAGAATGTGCTCATTGGGTTTTTGTAAAAGATGTTCAAACATTCTTAATGTCATTATGCTTATCTGAAACCAAAAATAATAAAAGCTAACCAAAAAATATCTTTAAACAAGTTACTCTTCTTGCCATCCCATGACTTATGCTTTTGACTTCTAGAGCCATATAAAAGGAACAGGCTGAACACATCACACGTATGCTCCTAAGTCCAGGAGGTGCCACTGTGACTCATCACACAGCTTACCTCATCAGATATATGGTCACAGTGTTCAATTAACCTATGTCTTAAAGGATGTCTGCTGATTTCTGCCAGTGTTTCTGGTTCCCTCTGTTCTCCGAGGATAAAAAGCACCATCTCTTGAAGCAGAACATCCGAGGTGACTTGCCGGACGATGCGATGCAGCAGAGCAGTTGATGTCAGAATACCCATCTCAGAACTGAGCACAACAAACAGGTACTTAGGGGCAGAAATGACAGGAGTGCAGTGCTGTTGTTTGTTTTTTTTTATGGAGAGAGGCCACTCACGTTTGCATTAACTGGGGTTCCATCACACCAATGAAAAACCTTTCATGAACAGCTTTGGCCAGAGCAACAGCAGCAGTCTGGAATACAGTATGAACACCATTCTCTTTTGTTTTTTAATGGAAAAAAAAAAAAAAGATGAACGTGTGATATCAATACATGAGTTTGCACTCCCCATCTGAACTAATACGGAAAAGCAAAATGTCCCTCCTGACCGTTCACTTGATGACATATTAACCTAGATTAGCTATTGGGTCCTTAGCATTTTATCTGAATTTCCAGCAATAAGAGGAACAGGACAAAAACTATTATCCTAAGCACCTTACAATAGTAACATCTCCCCAAAGATGAGAAACTTCATGTTCCCTCATGAAGCATTGTACATACTTACAGAATCAAAGGATAGAACTTGAACTTTGATTTGCTCCAGGGTTGTAATACACACACACACACACACACACTTTTGCTTTATTTGCTTGTTTGTTAGTTTATTTTACTAACTGTGCTATCCTCACTAAAACATTTACGAGGTAGTCAGGGATAGAAACAAAAGATTCAAATTTTACTTGGTAGACATGTACATTTTAAAATTATCAATGAACAATAACAAAAATTCTCAAACCTTTTGTGCTTCCTTAATGAGCTGATCACAATAATCAAACCAGGAAAGAAACGAAATTAAGGCTCGTTTTCCTGGAAATGCTGAAGCATCTTCTTTATGACTATAGGAGTCCAAGCTGTAGGACATGGAAGAAACGCTAAGTCCAAAGTTAGTTAAAAACGTTAACCCTACCCAGTGTATCTGAAATATTGCAGACGCATGAATGGATTCACACAGTGTGATATAGTCACACAGGCAATGCTGGATGACAAACAAAAGAAGGTTATGAAAGAAAGCCAAAGATAAAACTTTAAAAAATAAAAGTTGTAAATAATTTTCACTAAGTGGGAAGAGAGACACTAAAGTAGAATGGAGCGGTAGAAGAAAAATAAGCCACCCAGACAGCTCCTCATAGTGTCATTATAAATAAGTAACAGCAACAAAAAGGCTGAGGCATGTGGGAAAGGAAGGCAAAGAGGAGGTGCACAAAGAAATAATGACTGAACTATTCCTTGTCTTCCTGCCTGAAGACACAACACAGAGGTGGTGTTAACAACTGGGCCTGTCCCACAGATGCTGAGAGAATACCAGGCAGAGAAAGAAGTAAACACTGAAAAGCACTAAAATGTTATATGGCAAGGTATCAGACTGCATATAGGGATGTTGTTGTTGTTGTTGTTATGTGCCGTCGAGTCAGACCCGACTCATAGCGACCCCTCCTTGGGTTTCCGAGGCAGTATCACTACGGAAGTAGATTGCCCCATCTTCCTTCCGGGTGTGGCTAGTGGGTTTGAACCGCCAGCCTTCTGGTTAGCAGTCAAGTGCCTTAACCACCATGCTACAAGAGCTCCCTCATACAGGGGTAGGGAAAGGCTAATTTTATTTATGCTCCTTTATACTTTTTAGTAACTTATGAATGTTCTGCAATAAACATGTTTTCCTGTAAGAATCAAGGTGGGGGAGGGGGGTGAGACACGGGACACTAAAAGGTGGGTAGAAAAAAACAGGACACAAAACTGCCCTCACGGCTGAGAGAATTATTAATAAAAAAAGGAGAGTCTTTCTTTTAGGGCTTTTTATTTTTAATAAAAATAATCCAGATAATGTTATTGGTATTAATGTAAGCCCTTAAGAACTGATCACTGGAAAGGACAAAATAAAAAGTGGCTTAACTATGTGACTGCTGGATTGTTCCCACACCAGTTTTGTTACCACTGATGGTAACAAATTCAACTGAAGCCTCAACAAAATAATCCCATCCCACGATCGCTAATAATGCTGTAGTGTTCGAAACTAAAGATCTGAACACTGTCAAATAGAAACAGATCCAGAAATTTAGCTGCAAGAAGTCACCTTTATGGGAAAACACAAATAACAGTTCTTACCCCCAGTTAATTGCTTCCACTGTTTCAATATCTAACGGATCCACAGACTGAGGTAGGGCCTTGTACAGGGCAGCCAGCCTGTCCGTCAGCAGCTCACACAGGCAAGTGCTCTGGGTAAGGCATTTTGCAGCTGCGGGCTCTGGCAGACTCACTAACAACATCAAGCCCTCACAGGCTTTCACAGCTATTCGGCCATCCTGAGGAAAAGAAACACATACCCCTTTACTTCTTGAGTTAGATATACATCAAGTTGCTTGGGAAAATTCAGTGTGTAAGGACTTAATGTTTTACACTAAAATAAGATAGGCTTTTCTTTCCTTTTCTCCTTCCCCTATGTTTACCACTGTAGTCACATTAGGGAAAAAGTTAATGAAGAAAACTCACAGGACTTCTAGTAAGGTTTAACAAAGAGTTCACTAAGTTGTAGTCCTGGTTTGGACGAACCACGGAGGCCTCTGGCAGTGACGTGACACTGAGATTGTCCAAGCTGGTGGACAGATCGTCCATCTGGTGAGGAGGCTCATCTTCTAACTCTGTCTGTTCCATTCCTGTAGTACCAGACAGTTCCTCTGGCTGACGGGCCTGTCCCGTATCTGTTGACAAGGCATCTTGACCTTTCAGCGAGCCCTCTGAAGTTACATCTGGTACGCCTTTGGAAGCCAATGACTTTAGCTTACTCTGTAAAGGAGTACACATTCTGTAAAATTCACACCAACAGCCGAATCACTATAAATCACATTTTTAGTGTATTTGTCTATCACTGACATTCTACGTCTAACCAATGAAGCAATGAATAAAAAGTATCGTGACAAATGAAAATTATTGCATGGGGAAGAGAATGAACTTCGAGAAGAAAAATCTCTTCTTAGCCCAACTGAGGTATTCTTGTAACAAAAACCAAAAGAACTGTAATACTTCCCCTTACTAATAAATCTTTAGAAATGTGAAATCCTAAGAAGACTATTCGAGCCTTAGGATGCATGTGATGAAAGCTGGCATTCACAATCCTCACCACTGCCACGCAGGGGGTTTGGCAACTTAGCTGCTCACCTACCTCCTATAAGGGCAGCATTAACAAACAAAAAAAAACCTTACTGCCATAAAATCGATTCCGACTCATAGCGACCCCTCCTTGGGTTTCTGAGGCATATCTCCACGGAAGGAGATTGCCTAGTCTTCCTTCTAAGGAGTGGCTGGTGGGTTTGAACTACCAGCCTTCTGGTTAGCAATCAGATGCCTTATGCACTACACCACCAGAACTCCTAAGGGCAGCACAGGACCCTGAATTCCTTGTTCATTAATGGGAAGTAAGAAATAAATCCACACACCTAATTAGAAAGGCTACAATTAAAACAAAAACCTGAAAATACCCAATGCTGACAAGGATGTGCTGGTGGGATACAAAATGCTGAAGTCACTGGAAAACAGTGGCAGTTCCTTATGAAGATAAATATCCAATCCCACCCTGGGTATTCACCCAGTGAAGTGAAGCCAAAACCCACACAAAATTCGAAGGTGATTGCCCAAAACCAGAAATAACGCCAATGTCCCTCAGCTGATGAATAAGTAATAAATAGGACCTAACTCATGGATGAATCTCAAAAGCATTATGCTAAGTTAAAAAAAAGCCAGACTCAAGGGCTAATTAATTTCTATGACTTTGTGAAAAATGCAAAACTACTGGGACAAAAAACAGATCAGTGATGGCTAGGGGCTGGGGGTGGTAACGCCATAACTACAAAGGGTGTGGGAATTCTTTTTAGGGTGATCAAGCTATTGTGTGTCTGAAGTGTAGAGGTGTATATGCTTGTCAAAATCCACAGAGTGTAGACCAGAAAGAGGGCTCCTGGTGGTGCAAACGGTTAAGCACATGGTTACTCAGTGAAAGGCTGGTTGTTCAAATACACCCAAGGTGCCGCAGAAGAAAGGCCTGGAGCACCATTTCTGAAGGGTCATAGCCATTACAAACCCTGTGGAGCACAGCTCTACCAGGAAACACAGGGGTCGCCAGAAGTTGGAATCAACTCGCTGGCAACTGGTTTAGCGGTAGACCGAAGAGTGAGCTCTACTGTATGTCACTTACACCTTGATCTTAAAAAAAAAAAGATATTTTAGAAAACAAAAAAACAAAACCAAGAACTCAATTATTTTTTCTAATACGAATGACTTCACTGCTGAAAACAGAAGTGGATGAAAGCAGGAAGTACGCAAAAATTGCTATTTCGAAACTGGAAGTAAAATCCACAATATTAATTGATTCAAGTAAACCATGAGTCAGTGACTATGGCTATAGGAAGACAGTACAAAGCAGCAGAGTGGTTCCAACTGCAAGACCAGGCCAGAGAGGCAATGAGCCGTTTCTTCCACCGTGTTCAGATCTGCACATACCTTCCCTCCCTGGGCCAGGGCACCCGCACCACTAGTCGCAGCCAAGCTGGCTGAAAAGGTGACAGCACCTGTGGCTCCGCTACCCCTGATTCACCCTCAAGCTTCACCCTGGCCAATCCTTAGCTTCATGATCATCCAGGTCCTGAACCAGCCCAGCTGTCAAACGACTACGGTCCACCAAAAAGCCCATGTATCTGGTTCAGTTGTATACTGTGAAGATCTTATGTGAAGATCTTATATGTCAAGGTATTTCAAGTTAGAATAAAACAGTGATCACAAATGAAAAATCATTCTGGGAAGTAAAACAACTGATCTGATACGCAAAACATAAGTCCTTTTGCAGAATTCAATTCCAATTTTAATTCTAATATGAGCATATTTTGAAGGTTAACAAGAAATGTACCATACCTCAAGAAAAAAATTAACTAAATAGGGATCTTGTTTCAGCTTTGCACACACGATACAAAGAAACTGAATTTCTTCATTTTCTGTTGGAGTTGCAAGAACTTCACCACAAAGTCGAATTAATTTCTGTCAAAAAACATTAAATTTAAAAAAAAAAAAAGCTTAGGTTACTTTTACAAGCATGCAAATAATCATCCATTTATCTTAAGGATGTTGAAAAATTTCAAATATGTTTACATTACCCTAAAAAATTAATGAGATACATAATGAACTCTGGAGATATTACATAGGTAAATTAAAAAAAAAACCTTAATGTGTAACATTTTAAAAGAGAACTACAAAGCCATGAAAGTGTACTTAACACATCATTAATCAAGAGAGCTCAAGTATTTGCTAATAATCTCACGTTATTTTCAGAATAATTTCATTAATTTTACTCTTGGAAAAAAAATCACAAAAGATCATTTCTGTGCAAAAAAACCACACAAAAACCAAATAATTTGTTAATTATTTACATAATAATAACCTACCTGGTGGCGTAGTGCCTAAGGCACTTGACTGCGAACCAGAAGGCTGGCGATTCAAACCCACCAGCCACTCCTTGGAAGGCAGGATGGGTGATTACTTCCATAGAGATACCACCTCAGAAACCCAAGGAGGGGTCGCTATGAGTCGGATCTGACTCGAGGGCAGTGTGCTTGGTCTTTTGTTTGGAACCTACCTGCACTGGTCTATGCACATTAATGTGTGGAAGCAGTGGCTGCCGGATTCTTCCCAGAAGTTTAGTGTAGAACACCAAAACCTGCTGTTTCATTCCTGGAGGACACTGGGCGTAGGGAAAAGAAGGAAAACACACAAGAAAAGAACAGATGATACAATATACTTATTAAAAAACTAAAAGAAATGATGGATATCAATGCATTCCACTTTTAAAAGACAAAATATGATTAACCTACTAATGACTGTCAGAATAAAACTTGCAATCAAATACTAATGACTAGTGTCCTACAATTACACATCAGAGACTATACGGTAGCATATGCAATATAATTATTAACAACACTGGTGATGATACGTTGCTGAGATCAGAGTTTGGTTCAGGTAGGGCCAACCTATTTATATTCTAAATGCTGGCTACCATGAACACTGTTAACTTTCTGGCCAGAGAACAGGCAGACCTTGATACTTACACTAATGACAAACAGTCAATAACTTTTCATCATAGAAAGCCTTCTAACACTCAAAAAAACTCATTGCTGTCGAGTCAAACCCTACTCCTAGCAACCCCTTCTTGGATTTCTGAGGCAGTATCACTAGGAAATAGATTGCCCAACCTTCCTTCCAAGGAGTGGCTGGTGGGTTTGAACTGCCAGCCTTCCAGTTACTAGTCAAGTGCCTTAGGCACTATGCTACTAGAGCTTCTCCTTCTAACACATTTATGTAAATAATAATATGTAGCAAATACATGTAAAACAAAAGGAATCCTACGGCATAAACTGCTTTGTGACTTATTGTGACAACGCTTTTATTTATACTATGATAACTATAGTCAATGAATATTAAATATAGAAGTTTTGATAGCAGTTGTTTAAATATTTGCTGAAAAGCAGGTGAAACTGACGATTATATTGTAGATTCAGAGGGTAGAAATTAACAAGGCCTACATTCTAGAATGAAGCAGCTTATACTCCCTCACATTTAAAATACAGTCATGAGATGAGTATTTCCTAAGCACCATCACATCCATGTTATCTGGAAACAGCATAAACTATGATCTGAAGCACCATAACATT